GCCCCCTCATTCTTCCTAAACCCTGTCCCCTCTGCCTCTCCCTCCCTGCCCTCACACGCCTCACTGCCATGAGTGCTCTGTATGTCTCCCCATACTGTGCCCCCTCATTCTTCCTAAACCCTGTCCCCTCTGCCTCTCCCTCCCTGCCCTCACATGCCTCAATGCCATGAGTGCTCTGTATGTCTCCCCATACTGTGCCCCCTCATTCTTCCTAAACCCTGTCCCCCTCTGCCTCTCCCTCCCGGCCCTCACATGCCTCAATGCCATGAGTGCTCTGTATGTCTCCCCATACTCCTCTCCCTCATTCTTCCTAAACACCTGTCCCCTCTGCCTCTCCCTCCGGCCCTCACATGCCTCAATGCCATGAGTGCTCTGTATGTCTCCCATACTGCTCTCCCTCATTCTTCCTAAACCCTGTCCCCTCTGCCTCTCTCCCTCCCTGCCCTCACATGCCTCACTGCCATGAGTGCTCTGTATGTCTCCCCATACTGTGCCCCCTCATTCTTCCTAAACCCTGTCCCCTCTGCCTCTCCCTCCCTGCCCTCACATGCCTTGCTGGCATGAGAGCTCTCTGATTCTTTCCCCATGCTGCTCTCCCCCTTTCTCCCTCTCTCTGCCCCCACTGAGCTACAACTGCTGCACAGCAGAATCAAGTCCGCAGCCTCACATGTTACTCGGTTGGTTCTTCATTGCTGTGCCTTGCAGGGCCTTCGTTACTGGTTGCTTGCAGAGTCGGTTGCATGGCCTCACATGTTACTGGTTGCTGTGTTCCCAGGAGCAGTGTGATTGTTGCCTCTCACACGTGTGCGTGCGTGCGTGTGTGCGTGCGTGTGCGTGCGTGCGTGCGTGTGTGTGTGTGTCTGTGTGTGCGTGCGCGCAGCGCTCCGCGTGACAGAGACATTGCGGTCAACAATCTCAGGTCAGGCCTTGACGTGGTGACTCAGATGCCATGGCTTGATACCATGTGAGTGGCGGTTTTTTGCGAATTCTCAACAATCTCAGGTCAGGCCTTGACGTGGTGACTCAGATGCCATGGCTTGATACCATGTGAGTGGCGGTTTTTGCGAATTCTCAACAATCTCAGGTCAGGCCTTGACGGGGTGACTCAGATGCCATGGCTTGATACCATGTGAGTGGCGGTTTTTGCGAATTCTCAACAATCTCAGGTCAGGCCTTGACGTGGTGACTCAGATGCCATGGCTTGATACCATGTGAGTGGCGGTTTTTGCGAATTCTCAACAATCTCAGGTCAGGCCTTGACGGGGTGACTCAGATGCCATGGCTTGATACCATGTGAGTGGCGGTTTTTTGCGAATTCTCAACAATCTCAGGTCAGGCCTTGACGTGGTGACTCAGATGCCATGGCTTGATACCATGTGAGTGGCGGTTTTTGCGAATTCTCAACAATCTCAGGTCAGGCCTTGACGGGGTGACTCAGATGCCATGGCTTGATACCATGTGAGTGGCGGTTTTTGCGAATTCTCAACAATCTCAGGTCAGGCCTTGACGTGGTGACTCAGATGCCATGGCTTGATACCATGTGAGTGGCGGTTTTTGCGAATTCTCAACAATCTCAGGTCAGGCCTTGACGGGGTGACTCAGATGCCATGGCTTGATACCATGTGAGTGGCAGTTTTTGCGAATTCTCAACAATCTCAGGTCAGGCCTTGACGGGGTGACTCAGATGCCATGGCTTGATACCATGTGAGTGTTCTCCCCTCTTCGCCACCTCAGCGGCCTCCTATTGGAGGGGACCTTGCTTTCCCTCGCTTCCCTTGGTCCACTTTGGCTGCCCGCAACACCTGAGATGTTTTTTTCTGGTGCTGCTTGCAGACGGCCTTCATACCAACAACTTCTCTGGTGTGCTTCCAGCGTCCTTAACGGCAATCAGTGGCCTCACACGCCTGTGAGTGCACTCGATCCATCTCTCACCTTATCAGGCAGTGCACCAATCAACCCCTTTTGTCGCACCTATACGGGTCGGTGGCATGGAGCAACAGTTAGCGTAATGACTGGCCCTATTGTAAGGTCACCTGAGTAGTTTGGTGCATGATTTAATAATAATTTCTGGTGGCAGTGCTTTTTAAATTCATGGTATATGAGCGCCTGAAGGCATTCGTTCCCATGCTCCACTCTCCATGTATTTGTTTTCATCGTCTTCCCACCCCCCCCCCCCCCCCCCCCCCCACCACCCACCCACCCTGTGTCCTTGGACCTTATACAGGGACATTGGGAACAACCGATTTACGGGAAACCTTTCCCGAGTTTATTTTGCGCCAGAAGAGCCTTGTATCCCTGTACGTGGCTCTCTCTGAACACGTAACACGTCCATACGTGGCCCTTGTATTTTTGTAACACATTCACGCACAAAAACGAGTTGCGTTGGCACTTAGGCATGTGCATGCAACGTGTCAACCCGACCAACCTGACCCGACCTGACCTGACTGACCGGGTCCAATTTTAGTCAGGTCGGCTCGAGTAGGCCTAAAGATTATCCACAAACCACCCAGCCCTAGAGTCGGGTTGGTTCGGCATATACCCAGGGTCCAGGTTGGGTCGACCAGCTGGAAAATCCCGACTCAAGGTTCAGATCAGGTTGGGTCACATCAGGTTGGGTCAGGTCTGGTTGGGTCAGGTCAGGTTGGGTCAGGTCAGGTTGGGTCAGGTCAGGTTGGGTCAGGTCAGGTTGGGTCAGGTCAGGTTGGGTCAGGCTGATCTGATCTGGTCAAGCCCTCCAAATGAGTGACTCAACCTGGCCAAAACCCCCGTCGGGTCGACCTGTTGCTCATGCTGCACTGATGGAGCAAATGCCTCTATTTCCTTTGAGATATGACGTATTGTGGCTTCCCGCCTTTTCACCCTGAAACAACTATCGGAGCAAATAATGTGGCAATTGAAATGGCCATGGCAGGAACTTGGGCAACAACAGTTTCACAGGGACTATCCCCCGCAACTGGCCAAGCTTCTCAACGTGGGAGATATGTGAGTGGAACTGCTGCTTGATACAGCACAGATTCCATCAGGTTCATCAAGGAGACTTGTTGTGATTCAACTTTGGCAACAACACAGTCACACAGGGACCATCCCCCGCGAATTGGCCAAGCATGTCAACCTGGGAGATATGTGAGTGGCGCAACTGCTTGATACAGCACAGAATTTCTTTAGGCTTATCAAGGGGACTTGTGAGTCGGCTTGTGGTTATGGGTGCACAAGCTTCTAAAACTTTCAGGGCTGTCCTTGGAAGTGCAGTAGGACTAAAAGGGATGGGATAGCGAACAAAAAAAAGGAACAATCGCCAAGTAGGGCAAGAAATGACTCGAATAGGAGAGGATTTCTTTGGCAAGTCTGCTTGAAAGACTGTGTCCATGTTGTGGTTCTTGATACCATTGCCCGGTTCCAGAAATCTCAATGACAACAATTTCCATGGAAACCATCCCATCCGACCTGCTTCGGCTACCCATGTTTGTCCTCGCTGTAAGTAGCTCCGTTATACTTGTTTCAAAAAGATGATTTCTTCCATTTTCCACCTTGGTGCATACAAAACCGATCTCAACTGTCCTCAAGTCATATGGTACTCAGCAATTACTCTGTTTTGCTGCCGTATACTAGATTAGGAATCCACATGCATACTACTTGATTCGTGAGTGTCTCCCTTCCCTGCATCGCCAAGTATTCAACTTTCCCACCCCAAGCTTGTTGCCTGTCTCTCTGAGGCCCACGATGCATGCATGTGCTTTGGCGGTTTGCTTGAGTTTCAGACTGCTGCATTCAGCCCCTTCACTATCCGCCTCCATCGCAACACAGAGAAATAGCTAACAACTTCCTCTCAGGGGAACTCCCAGGGACTCTTAGTGTCACAACTTCTCTTAGAACGCTGTAAGTAGGGGCAGCGACTGGGTGGGTGCTGCCATTACTGTGTGTGCCTGGTGCCATTTTTCCCCTTAGATGCTTAGCTTTTATACCTTGGAAGTCTCATTCGCTCCTCTTGCACCGTGCAGTAGCCTGGGGCGGAAATGGCTTCACGGGCTCCTTACCTGACTTCTCACGCTGGAACGTTAGATGTGTAGAAATGTAAGTAAGCCTCCAACTCTGAGACAGTCTGTTCGTTCTTGTCCCACTCTAAACATCACTTGCTCAATCTTGTTCCCAGCATCCATGGGTTTGTGCTATACGTTCCCGCATTGCTCGGTCTTGTTTTTTCCTTCACTCGTGTTGTGGATCAGAGATCTCAGCAGCAACAACTTCACAGGGTCGATTCCCGACTCCATCTCCACCCTCACCACCCTCCGAGGGCATGTGAGGCTTCTCCTCTCTTCTTGTGCCACAACTGGGTTGTCCCCAACTCTCCTCCCTGCCCGCCTGCCCGCCTGCCTGCCTGCCTGCCTGCTATTCCCGACTCCATTTCTTCCCTCACCACCCTCGACGGCATGTCAGCCGTCTTCTCTTCTTGTGCCACAACTGGGTTGTCCCCAACTGCCTCCCTACCCTCCCTCCCTCCCTGCCTCCCTGCCTCTGCCTGCCTGCCTGCCTGCCTGCCTGCCTGCTATTCCCGACTCCATCTCCACCCTCACCACCCTCGAGGGCATGTGGGTGAGCCTTCTCTTCTCTTCTTGTGCCACAACAGGGCCGTCACCAACTGCCTCTCTCCCTGCCTCACTGTCGTGTACAAAAGTCATGTTCGAGCCTTTGCAGTGACAGGCAGCCTATGCATTCAGCACTTTTCTCATGACTCAACCAATACACCCCTTACCATGTCCTGCAGTTTACTCAACAACAACCAGCTGACAGGCACCATCCCATCAGCCATATTCACCACGACGAATCTGAAATACCTGTAAGCCTCAAGGGTCAAGGGACCCCCTTACTAAGTGCCCTTAAGTGTTCCCACCTCTGCCCCATGGTGCTTTCCTGCATCAGCCCGCACTGCTCTTGCATTGCATGTGCTGCTTCTGATCGCACTGTCTCCCTGACATTGCTATTGTCATTGCCCGTCAGCTACAATGTCTCCCTCTCGTCACAATTGTACTGCCTCCCTCCCAACCGTCTCCCTGCCATTGCCATTGCCCGTCAGCTACAATGTCTCCCTCTCGTCACAATTGTACTGCCTCCCTCCCAACCGTCTCCCTGCCATTGCCATTGCCCGTCAGCTACAATGTCTCCCTCTCGTCACAATTGTACTGCCTCCCTCCCAACCGTCTCCCTGCCATTGCCATTGCCCGTCAGCTACAATGTCTCCCTCTCGTCACAATTGTACTGCCTCCCTCCCAACCGTCTCCCTGCCATTGCCATTGCCCGTCAGCTACAATGTCTCCCTCTCGTCACAATTGTACTGCCTCCCTCCCAACCGTCTCCCTGCCATTGCCATTGCCCGTCAGCTACAATGTCTCCCTCTCGTCACAATTGTACTGCCTCCCTCCCAACCGTCTCCCTGCCATTGCCATTGCCCGTCAGCTACTTTAGCCGCATGGCCTAAGGCCCTACACTGTGTCTCCATGCCATTGCCATTGCCATTGCCATTGCCATTGCCATTGTGCACCATCAGCTACATGGCCAACAACCATCTCACCGGCACTCTGCCAGCCGCCATCAGCCAACTACAGAAGCTCGAACAGATGTGAGGGTGCTATCTGCCTTGCTCCCCTACGATTCTCAAGAACTTTCGCAGCTTTGTGAGCAATGCAGGCAGCACAGCACAGGTTTACAGGAAGATGTTTATTACAAACACAAGTCCAGCAAACGTCCTCACTGTGAACATAAAGATCAGAAACTAACAAAGAAAATCGGGGCACAAAACATTGCCTGTGCCATCCCCACTCCACCCGCTGCGCTTCATTCATATAACCATTGGTGCCTTAGCTCTGCCTGCCACTGCTCTGCCTGCCAATGCTCTGCCTGCCACTGCTCTGCCTGCCACTGCTCTGCTCTCCCTACCCTTCGCTCTGCCTGATTTTCATGCCTCCTGCCTCCTGCCACTGCTCTGTCCGCGCAGCTGGTTGGACAACAACAAGATTGAAGGCTCTCTGCCGACTGGCCTGTGCTCATTGCCATTGATTTTCCTGCGAATTCTTTGCCTGCCACTGCTCTGCCTACCATTTGCTCTTCATGCCTCCTGCCTCCTGCCAATGCTCTGCCCCCGCAGCTGGTTGGACAACAACAAGATTGAAGGCTCTCTGCCGACTGGCCTGTGCTCATTGCCATTGATTTTCCTGCGAATTCTTTGCCTGCCACTGCTCTGCCTACCATTTGCTCTTCATGCCTCCTGCCTCCTGCCAATGCTCTGCCCCCGCAGCTGGTTGGACAACAACAAGATTGAAGGCTCTCTGCCGACTGGCCTGTGCTCATTGCCATTGTTTTTCCTGCGAATTCTTTGCCTGCCACTGCTCTGCCTACCATTTGCTCTTCATGCCTCCTGCCTCCTGCCAATGCTCTGCCCCCGCAGCTGGTTGGACAACAACAAGATTGAAGGCTCTCTGCCGACTGGCCTGTGCTCGCTGCCCCTGCTGTGGCGCTTGTGAGTGGTCGTGGCGCTTGGCTGTGGGGCATTACTGTTTGCTTTTTTTATTATTATTATTATTTCCCAGCTAGGATAGACAGACTGTCGCTTATTGCAAGCAGTTTTGTATACCTGCTGAACACATAAAGCTGGAAATTATCAGCATAATATCTCTCTATGGTGTGTTGCCATTTTGTATGGGTGTATGACTCATGGTGCAGCATGTGTTGTGCTGCTGTGCTGGCAGCATGATCAGCAACAACTACCTCTATGGACCCCTGCCAGACTGCCTCTTTGACAAGTGCATCAACCAAATGTGAGCCAACCACGCGTTCTCAATCCTCACTACCATGCATGCATTAGCTCGCATCCTCACTCATGGGCATCGCAACTACCTCTATGGACCCCTGCCAGACTGCCTCTTTGACAAGTGTATCAACCAAATGTGAGCCGACCACGCGTTCTCAATCCTCACTACCATGCATGCATTAGCTCGCACCCTGACTAATGGGCATCGCAACTACCTCTACGGACCCCTGCCAGACTGCCTCTTTGACAAGTGCATCAACCAAATGTGAGCCGACCATGCATACACTATTCTCTCATGCGTAGATGCAACAGCTCGCACCCCCAACATGGGCACTGCATCGAGTGATGAAATGCATGTGCTTGCTTGGTGTTGCAGACCATGTGGTGGGAATCCTCCAACCAAACACTCAACAGCATGTTCGGCTCTTTCTGTGGCCCTTGTGCTTCCCACAGTGATGTGAGCGGCAACAGCCTGTATGGGCGCATCAACCGCGGCTTCAAGGGCATGGTGGCGATCAGCGGCGCACCAATCTAACCTCCATGTGCCGCCCCCCCCACTTCTTCCCACAGTGATGTGAGCGGCAACAGCCTGTATGGGCGCATCAACCGCGGCTTCAAGGGCATGGTGGCGATCAGCGGCGCACCAATCTAACCTCCATGTGCCGCCGCCCCCCCTTCTTCCCACAGTGATGTGAGCGGCAACAGCCTGTATGGGCGCATCAACCGCAACTTCAAGCACATGGTGGCGAACAGCGGCGCTTTAATCTAACCTCCATGTGCCGCCCCCCCCCTCCCCCTCTTCCGTGCCTCCCACCCATAGTGATGTGAGCGGCAACAGCCTGTATGGGCGCATCAACCGCGATTTCAAGCACATGGTGGCGAACAGCGGCGCCCTCGTCAACCTGGCTCGCAACTTCTTCTTTGGGGAAGCCGTGCTCTTTGCTGCTGGCTGCAAGGTCTGCCCCACCGAGGTCAGCGAGCCCAACAGCCTCGGCCTCAAAGACACCTCCAACTGGCGAGTCTCTGACGGCAATTGCAACAATGCACTACCCTCTTACCTACTACAAGACTACGCCGTGACAGGGGCCGGGCTGAAGCTGAGGGTGAGTCTGTCGGGCAACTGCCTGACGCTCAGCCCAAGCACAGAGTGCTCGGTCAACGCCACCCAGCGCAGCACGGCAGCCTGCCAGGCGTTCTGCAGCATCACGGACAACGGCCCGTGTGACGGCCATGGGGTGTGTGTGCCGGCTGACCCCACCTCTGCAGCAGCATCACGGACAGCCTCCCCCTCCAACTTCACGTGCCTCTGCGATGCCGGCTACTCCACTCTCGACTCAGGCAACGGCTCCACATGCGCCATTGTCAACTCCACCACCACCACTGGTAACCTTTGCTTCATTCTTATGAAACTGCCTAGGCTTTCAGCACCGCCTCAGCCTGGCAGCATTGCCCATTCTTACGCGCTGCACCAATACCCATGTCAGCTGGCTTTTCTCCTACACACCTTTTCACTCCTTGCCTCACCTCGACACCTTCGTCTAACCACCGCCCCGATTCCCGTAACCTCCCATTCGTTGGCAGTGTCGTCGCTATCCACGGGTGCCATAGTGGGCATTACTCTAGGCTGCTTTGCTGGCTTCATTTTGCTGGCTTTTGTGGTCACATGGCTGCTGTGGCCCCGTGGACCAAGTGAGCTCTTCATCCCTTCTTCAGTTCCATTCATTTCCGTCTCCCCTATTGCTGTGCCTTTTTTCTGGCCTCCTTCCCTCCCCAGCTCTGCCATTATTACTGCATTTCAGCTCTGCCTCTTCGTTGCTCCCATATTCTGTCTACTCATTTACTCCCCTGGTCGTTCATCCCCCTTGTCCTCATGTGTGCGCAGAGAAGTGGGAGGGTTGGATGTGTGTGAGCAGTTCTCGCTGCAGCAGATGCTTAAGGCCACCAACAACTGGTCGGAGGACAATGTGCTGGGCAAGGGAGGCTTCGACATTGTCTACAAAGGCCGCTCGTCACATGGCCAGCTGTGGGCCATCAAGCGCTCCACCATCATGACCAACGACTTTGAAACGGAGGTGAGGCAAAAATTGGTACTTGTCAGAAGACATGCACTGGGGATTTTCCGATTGATCCTAAGGAACGGTTACAGACACGTTTGTCTAGAGGTTAAGGGTTCACTCACCCATTTTATGTCAGTGTTGTAGTGGCTGAAATTCTGACATGGTATCAGAGCGAAGGTCTTGGATTCGAATCGTGTGCTCACATGCTGGCTTTCATGTGTCTCTCTGCTGCTATATCGTGTTCTAGGGCATCCCAATGACAAAGGGGTGTCAGTAGACCTGCACTGAAAATCCCCGATTGATCCCAGGAAAGAGTTCCAGGCACGCTTGCCTAGGAAATTATGGGTGCACTCGCTACTCAACAAGCCATTTTATTCCAGTAATGTAGTGGTTGGGGTTCTAACAATACTCCATGGTTTTCAGAACGTCGACCTGCAAATTCAGTGCGCGCATTCTGTTTTTCAAAATGCTGACTTGTAGCCCATACGCATCCCCCTGCATTGTGTTCCATGTCCGTGTGGCAACTACCGACCTGCATATTCAATGCCCACCTTTCCTCGGCCATGTGCGTCTGCCTGTATTGTCTTCTCACTATAGGTGCGAACCATGGCGTCTCTCCACCACACACACCTCGTGCGCCTGCTGGGCTTCTGCCTGGACCAGAACGTGGAGACGGGCAAGCAGGAGCAGATTCTGGTGTACGAGTTTATAGGCAACCGGGACCTAGAGTACCATATCCATGCAACCAAGCGTGAGTTGCACAGCCACAATGACGAAATGGATGCCATGCGGTTTTTTCATTTTCTCTTTCTGTTTTGCACAAGACATGACACCATCACTAAAAAAGCCATCATTCATAACGTATTTTTCTTTTTTCACTCACTGCTGCTGCTTGGTGTACATATTTCATGACCTAGGTCCGCTGTCGCTGCGCCAGAGGTTGCGCCTAGCACAGGGAGCAGCAGAGGGCCTGGCGTACCTGCATGGGTTTGACACACCCATCGTTCATCGCGACATCAAGCCAGCCAACATCCTTGTGACTGGAGACATGCAAGCCAAGGTGGCTGACTTTGGGTTGCTCAAACGCCTCACTCACGGCGATGCTGATGCCACGCGAGTGGCCGGCACTCCGGGATATGTGGATCCGGATTACAACCGCACCAACGTCATCACAGCCAAGAGTGACGTGTTCAGGTGAGCATGTGTGCAGGGATGAGCAAGGGGCGAACACGAACATGTTCATGTTCGCCCCTAGACGAACACATCCGTTTGCCGAACCGAACACTGTTCGGTTCGGCGAACACTTTAAGCAAAAACTCGTGTTCGCCGTTCGCCTGTGAAGGCGTGTTCGGGCGAACCTCGAACACGTTCGTGTTCGTCGCGGGGCAAATTGCAGCAGCGGCCCGAACACGAACGTGTTCGGGCGAACATCGAACACTGTTCGGCGAACAATTTAAGCAAAAAAACAAACCTGTTCGGTTCGCCTCGAACACGTTCGAGGCGAACCGAACAGGTGTTCGCCCTTGTGCTCATGTCTATGTGTGCTCGTTCATTTGCACAGCGCCATGAACTTGTGCACCTGTGGTTATGAATCATCCAGGTTATGTTGGAAACTTGTACCCGGTACCTCTCCCCATTGTTTTCCAAGTTCATTTCACTACTTCCAATGCATGGTTGCTTGCAGCTTTGGAATCGTGCTTCTTGAGTTGCTGAGTGGAAAGCCGCCACGAGTCGACGCAAAAACGCATATAAGCAAATGGTTATGAGACAATGTTCATGCCCATTTACTCTCAAGTTTATGCTATGCTCGCACAGTTATCCTTAATTCCTTTTATACTGACTTTCACTCCCTTTCTTGTTGCTATGCTCCCTTCCACCACCTTTCCTGCTTAGTGGGAATATACGCTCAAACCCGAAAGCGTATAGCGTATATACGCTAGCATGTGTACGCAAAACGCAATACGCTAGCTAATACGCTATACGCTATCGGAAAGTTTTTCGGGCTGCCCGGGAAAAAAATCGCTTGTCTACGGAATGATGCGGATTTTTCTGCTGAGCATTTCGCCGAAGTCGAAATGCAATTTGACGGTCTAGGGAAGCGGGAATGTGCCTTCGGAGTTTGCAGGCAGTTCAAATTTGAACATTAGATTAGTACCGCATTGAAACCCATCTTATCTACGAACTCCAACCTGTCAAAAACGTCCCCCACCAAACCCCACTCACGCTACTTACCAGCCAGCAAAATTCCAGTCATCATTTCTAGCTGACATTCCCGCCGACTTCTTCTTCTAGTGTCTACTCCACATCCCACCCCCAATCGCCGTTCAGACTTAGGGAATTGCTACGAAAGTCTTAGTGAGAGGGAACACCTTCCCAGTGTTGAGCACGACGTTTTTTTTCACCCTGCCCGGGATAGTTTTTTACCTGCCTGAAAAAGCGTATTACCAACTCGACCCTTAAGCGTTTAGCGTATATACGTTACTGTATATACGATACGCATATATACGCTATACGCGTATATTCCCACTAAGCTTTCCTGCATATTTTGTTCCTTTGCACCTCTTCCCCCATTCTTATGCTTCCTTGTGTTGCACCCTCCAGGCAATGAAGAGGGTGGAGGCGTATGATCTGGAGGAGCTGAGGGACAGCAAGATGCCAGTGGTCAGTGAGGAGGCAATAGTCGACTTTGCAGATCTGGCTCTAGACTGCATCAAGTCTCCCGGCACACGGCGACCCACCATGAAGGATGTGGCATGCCGCCTCAGCGCCCTCATTGCCAAGCACTGTCCCGACAGGGAGGACGAGTGGGAGAGTGTTGCGAAGGAAGAGAGTGAAGGCAACGAGGGTATATCTTCAAGGGATGTTTCTGCTGCGTCGTTTGAGAGCAGTGGGAGGGAGGCTGAAAGGTCTCATGGCTCACATTCTAATGTGAGCTCGTTCATGCGTGTTGGCTCGATAGGTGATGGCCTATGGAGTTGGCTACAGTTGAAGTCAACCAAAGGGCGTTAAATATGGACATTATGGCAGTACACGTGCGTATTAAACATGAAATTCCGTAACTCCCCAAATATACCACCCTGTAGTCTTAACATTAGTTATTAATTATGGGTATGTCTTCTCAACGTGAACAAAATTATTAAAGACCTGGGTAACGGGTTGCTTCACATGACTGTGTCTAGTTATATCGAATGAAGTTATGTCTGGTGTTTCTTACAACCTTGTTGAACATACCGTCATCACCTGGTAATCTATACATGACTTATGTGATACTGATTTGAAGAGATTGCTTTCGTTATCCTGTAATTTTATTGATCCTTTAAGCATAATCCTTTATCTAACTGATATCTTGTATTACAAGGCTGCACTTGGAATTTCCACACTTGCAAACTATTCCATAACGAATGATGCACTTCTGCTGAACCGGAATAAGGGCGTGGAACCGGTTGCTGATTTGCGGCTTCAGCAAAATCAGGTTACGCATGAGAGGATCTGTTTTCGAAGCTTAAAGCTCGCGGCCCAATTTGCGGGGCGCGCTGGCCAAGCTTACTAAGGTTGACGGGGGTGATGTTTTGAGTGCTGTTTGGGTTGCGAAGGGTGGTTACGAGAAGTGAGATGCAATCTGATTGGCCAGTTTTTTTTTGTCGAATGGGGAGAGCAGGGAACAACAATATGTTGATTGCAATTTGGGACTCTCGAAGCAAACCCAGGTTGCTCCCAGGGGTTTGCCGTGTCAACGAAAACCCCAAGGGTCTAGCGCGAAAATGGGCGAAAGGAAACAGCCCAACTCCCAACAAGTCAACTTCTTCTCCCACCACCCAAAGGTCAACCTTACTAAGGTTGAACAATTTGGGCCGCGAGCTTTAAACTTTTAGCAATCATCGCCAACAACCCAGTCGCACCGATTCTTTTGCGACTCATGAATTTGCGACTGGCATCCTTGTGTCCTTGCGGGGATGCGCAGGCCAGTTGGTTGGGCCTTCAGGTGGGAAGGAAGCACAACCCAGTGCCGGTTTTGTGCTAGTGTTCCGAGACCCGGTTGCAGTATCGTGGTAATCATGGTGACCAGTGACGTGAACCTGTAAAAATGTTAACGAAATGAACGGAAACCTTAAGAAGGGTAACCACGCTGATTTCCACGACCAGTTCCACGCCCTAACGCTTGGCACCGCCCTTGCCGTGTGCCAGCCAAGCCAAGTGAAATCTACGATGCTGCCACTGCGATCCTCACAGTCGATCGAGGACTGCGCGTTCCAGCCTGGCTGGTGGGCACTCCCCGTTCCTTGCGCTAATTGCTGGTACAGTTTTGGCAGAGGGTGATGGCCGGAGGAAAGGGAGGGAGGGACTGCCTGTCAATCCAACGCTGACGTGCGATGGTCTTGTGTCCACCACTAGAAATTGGTGGGGCACCAGGCCCCCCACCCACCCCATGCACAAGGTGGAAATATTTCAGCTGGAAAATCTACGTACAGTTCACACGCCTTCCGAGGATCTGATGCGGGGCGGTTTGAAAATTTTCAAACAACTCAGGCCAGGAAAACCTTGCCGTTGAGGGAGGGGAACATTCACCGAGTTGATGAAAAAGGCGCCTGTAACTTGGAAACAGCTGCACCCATGCACCCCCTGAAAATTGCCCCAGAAGTTCAATTGAGCTCTCTTGCATCAGCACCAGGCCTCAGAATTGCAGGGCATTTTATCCTGATTAGCCTGTTTTTCAGGGTCGTTTTTTGGAACCACACTGTAAATACAGGTTTCAATGGTTCTACCACCCTGTCACGATCAGGCCTCGTGAAATTTTGACCCTTGTTTTGCAGTTGTTCGTTCTTGTAGCACACTGCCTTGGCCGAGTTCGGTAGTGGCAGCACTCTGACTGAGTTTTTTTTGTCCCTCAGCCATTTGAGAACTGGCTAAGTCGCCGGGAGACACTCACACATACACCAAAACAAGCATCGGATGTGCTCGAAAACTGGGTAAGTCCTTTCCACAGAGACACTCACCGCACCAAAACAAGCGTCGGATGTGCTCGAAAACTGCTGGCTAAGTCCTTTCCACGGAGACACTCACTCAGATTGGACCGCTGCAGCCTAGTTTAAATTTTCACCCTGCCATACCGGACCAGAAATATTTCAACACCCTGCCATTTCTAGGGTACGACGCGGCAGCAACACTGCAGTGGCAGTGTGACTTCGACCTGAAACTTTGATTTGACAGGGTGGCACAAAACGAATCAAGACCCCTGATCAGCACCTCTCCCTGCTGGTCCCGCTCTCCCCCACAGCCAACCGCAAACAGAATTTTGCCACTGCACCGAAACCTGCCGCTGTATATAGTGTCAAACCGTGCGCAACTCCCAACCACCCAAAACCCTTTCTTCCCTTTGCCATAAGCGTCAGATATGGAATCAATCCGCGTCCATTCCACAATGATTTGTCTGACGCTCCCCACTCGTCCCAGCGAGACAGACAACTCGAACATCAACTCTAGAAGGCTGAAGCCCTGATCCGCGTCGCGTGGTCCTTAATCCCATTGGCTCATCCCAACAATATTTTTCTCATTGCCGTGTCCTTTTTTTTTGGAACTATCTGCACGGGCCGCGAGTGCCACCCGCTGACGACTGTTGTGGGAAACATACGGAGTTCGCAACTCTACCCGTCAATACGACTCGCGAACGTACGCGATGAGCGGTCACGACTCACGGCGAGTTAGGACGAGCAATCATAGAGATCCCACAAGGGGTACTTATCGTCGTCACGACGAGGCCAAGGTGGAACCAAGGCGGAAGCGGAGGCGGGGCCGATACGCAGACAAGGACACCCACCCACCACTGTCACCGCAAGTCACGGCGGCGGCCCGTCCACTCTTAGCTGTCGTTTCATTCGGTGCTTACACTTGGGACCATCGTCCGCTGGCGAGTGAGATAAGGCTGTTAGTGGAAGCGTCATCTCCGAAGTGTACCCTCAGAGTGCTTCGACGCCTGCTGCGCTAGTGTGACACTCGCGTCCCTGACGGACAGACTCCTCGTTTCGCTTCTAAACGTCAAATCAGCACGGCCAATCGCGAAGTTTGCGCGAAACCGGCGCCACCATGTTTTCGCCGCTGGCCTGCTTCTCTCCGCACAACTTCGCCGGCGATTTTAGTGATTTCGGCGACGATGTAACTTTCGACGAAAGATTTTCGCCAGCAACACCAACTACGCGGACCGTTCCGAAAATCCCCTCCCTCTCGTCCCTGCCGGTCTTCACGCGGCCGCTCACGAGCCCCGCAGCCGCGTGCGTCGCAGCCTTCCCCGTCTGCTGCTCGCCCAGCAGCGACTGCGGTTCCCGTAACGACTCCCTGCGACGCCACGTGCGACACATCGAGCGACGAGCCAACGACGCCTCGTGCGACGGTCGGAGTGAAAACGCGTCGCACGAATTGTCGTTCTGGGCATCGGAATGTGCTCAGGCGCCGGGGCGGAACGACGTACGCCCACATCGCGAACTCCCCCCGGCCTCCGTCTTCGTTCCCCCCGTTATAGTGCCATCGCTTACTAGCAACGACGTCGCTCGGCGGTACTTCTCCAACGGTACGGAGTGCCGCCCTGCTCCCTCGGGAAACGTAACCCGCAACAACTCGAAGCGCAAATGTGATGGCGCCGGCGGCGGTGGCGGCGACAGCGCGAACGCGGCGTCAGCGCGACCAGCGGCGGCGCGGGCAAATATGAAAGGCACGAAGAAGACCGAGGTAGCTGTTGAAACAGTCGGCGCCTCCGCCAAGAGTCGCCTGCTCGCACGACCATCGCTGGTCATCCCATACCCCGCTGGGGAGCCGTTACATTGTAACGGAGCTTTCGACTCAAACAACAACGCGTTAGCGAATTCCGAATTACATGGTCACCACGTGTCGCCGCCACACCGCAACCTCGCGGATAAGCCGCTCCCGTCGCGCAGCCGTGGAAAATCGAGGCCGCGCACAGCGCCGATGGGGATTGCGCGTTGGTTTTGGGACACCGCGACGGGAGTGGCAGGAACGGGCGGAGCGGGGAGAAGCGGAAGGAGGCGGGAGGCGCGGCAGCCGAAGCCGGACCGGCAAGCCGTCTGAGGATGCGACTTTGGCGGTGACAGCAACCGGAACGCCGCGCAGCGCCGGCGTTGGCGATTGACATCCGCGCGGCTGCAGCAGCAGCGGCGCGTTGGGCGGCGACGGGGATAAAGCAGCGTCGGTAACGGACGGCGCTGTACCCATCGGCGCGCAGTGAAGGCGGTGCGGCGAGCGGAGCGTGCGCGACGTGCTAATCGTGGAAGGGGGAAGGCCGCCCGCGGATGCGGGGCGTGCCCGAGGCGGTGTGTTCCGCAAGAAGCAGCGGGCGGGGGGAAGGGCAAGCGGAGCGTGTTCGTGTACGAGCTGGTGCGCGCGCGACCGCGGGGGGAGGCGGCGGGGATTATGGGGGCCGCGGATTGCCGCGCGCGAGAACAGCAGGCGCCGCGGAGAGTGGCAGTGCTGGGTTGTGGGGGACGGACGGCGCGGAAGGAGTGGCGGAGGGAGCAATGGGAAAGGCGCAGGGTTGGCAGCAGCGGTCGCTGGATCGAAGTGACACGCAGAGCGACATTGCTGACGTGGACGAATGGGCGAAGGGAGATGGAGAAATATCTGACGGAGAAATTAAGGCGAGAATCGGGTCCGAAGGAATGGGGCGAAAGGGAGAAAAGAGGTTACGAGAGAGGAAAAGGGAAAGTGGCGGCTCGGAAGGGGAGCAGCACGAACGGGAGAACGGTAGCGGCGGCGGGCGGAAAGTTGGGGGTTGCGAGACGCTGATGATGACGACTTGTTAGGAGGCAAGCGGGCGCGCTTGTAATGCGTACGGGGGGCTGTGATGAAGGAAACAACAGCTGGCGCGATACAAGCAGCGAAGGGGAGGCAGCGGGGATTGACCAGTGGGACCTGGACGCGGATATCGAGGAGCACCATAGCGAGGATGAAAGCAGCGCTGTGCTGTCCGCCGCCACGAGCGGCGACGGGGGCGATCCGTGGGGCGTTGGGGGCAGCAGCGGCAGCGAGGAGCAGCGAGCGCTGCAAGCGGCAGGGGCGAGACAAAGGACTAGTGATAGGAACTTGGGAGTGGATGGGGAGGAGTTGGGAGTGGTGAGGAGGGACGAGGATTGGTTTGAAGAGGCGGAGGGCGTGTTGCTGGTGGACGAAGGGCGTGTCGTGCCTTGGGAGTCAGACGGTGGCGAACGGCGGCAGAAAACGAGAATGGGGGAAGGTCGCGAAGCTGTGTGGGAAGCGTCTGTCCGCCAAAGCCAGCAGGAACGGCCGTTGCCCGCGCTGCAGCGGACGCGCAGGCAGGCAGGAGAGGCGACGGCAAGCGATGGGCAGTGGGAGTGACGGCAGCACCGGCCGTGGCAGCGACAGCAGCAGCAGGCACAGGGAGGGTGGGCGGCCCGTGCTGCTGCGGTGCGAGGGCGTGCGGGGGAGCAACCGCGTCCGCCGCGTTTGATCCCAGCGAGTACCTGCCTGCGCCCACAGCACCCGCAGCACCTGCAGCACCCGCAGCAGCACCCACAGCAGCCCACAGCTGCAGGTGGCGTGCCTGCGAGCGAGCACCACTGCGTGAGTGCAGGTGCAGGTGCGAGTTGGAACAACACCCACGGCAGCCGGTGCAGGCCGCTGTGGCCAGAGGGCCGTGAGACTGCAGCGCAGGGAGGTGCGAGGGCGAGGGCACGCCACGCGGCGGCGACGTCAGCAGCGGCGGGAAAGAGCCAACACGTGTCGGCATGGTGGCAATTCGGTGGGGCTGATAAGAGCGCTGATAAGAGGCGACAGCAGCGGGCAGGCCGGCAGACGGAAGAGCACAGGTGGTGGAGTGAGCAGCGGAGTGCATGGGGGTCGGTCCCGGCCGCTGGGACCCCCACCCACGCCCCAGAAGCCCTGACCACGACGCATGCATGGAAAGCCGCACCTCGCACTTGATATCACCACCCGGCTCTCCCCTCGCACGCATCAGCAGCGTCATCGTCCCGCCTACTGCCCTCTCCACGGCCTCCCGCCCTCCCGGCGCCTCCGGCCGTCCCCCGGCCTGAGGAGGGCAGCAATCCGCTGCGGCTTCGCTTGCTGCGGTGGAGCGAGTCAACGGCAGCGTGAGAGGCAGGCTGATTTGACTGCACGAGCAGGCAAGCAGAGCAGGGGAGCGCGGGAGGAGTGCGGGCGAGCGGCGGTGGTTTTCCACAAGAGCAGCAGCACTGGCAGCAGTGGGGGGGGAGGAGGTGTCAGTGGCACCGGCAGTGGCACCAGCAGTGGCAGCAGCCAGGACACATCGAGCAGTAACTACAGCAAGAACAGCACCCAATGCCGCACCTCGCCCTTCCTCATCCACCTCTCGTCCCTCTCCCCCACTCCCTTGGTCACCTCCTCCCACGTCCCTCGTCCCTCTCCCATCACCCCCGTCCGTAGTCCCTCGCCCCTTGCTCGCCCTCTCTTTCTCAGCTTCGGTTTCAGCTTCGGCCCAAGCCTAGGCCTCTGAGCCGTGCCAACTCTGCCGCCCCAGCGCTCCTGCAGCCCACAGCCCATCTTGCTGGCTGGTGGGAAGCGATTCAGCACCCGCTGCCCTGCCGCTGCGGCTGCTGCTGCCGCCGCCGCTGCAGTTGTTGCAAACGGCGGTGGTGCTAATGCTGCTGCTGCTGCAGCGGCTGCCAATGGTGCTGGTGCTGTTGCTGCTGGCCAATAGCGGTGGTGGTGGTGGTGGTGGTGCTGCTGCTGCTGCTGCTGCTGCGACTGGGAAAGCAAGAGCAGGGAGAGCAGCAGAGGCGGCAGGGATAGCAGGAGGGAAGGGAGCAGTGGGCCTCAAAGCGAGCGCGGTGGTTTACCACCCGCCCTTCAGCAGCTATCGTCACCAGGCTGACGTGGCAGCCCAGGAGGAGGAGGCGAGTCTGAGGGAGCTGGAGCAAGCAGCTGGAGAGAGAGAGGAGGAGGAGGGAGGAGGAGGAGGAGGAAGACTTGTTGGCAGAGGCTGGTGAGAGGGGAGTGAGGGAGGTGAGAGTGAGGGAGGGCGAGTGGGAGGAGGGGGGGTGCGTGGATGGTGAAGATGCCTGGAAGGGGGGAGTCAAGGAGGCTGGAGGAGCTTTGTGAGAAAGTGGTTGGGATGGGTGCTGGTGGGGTGGGGATGGGATTGGACGGGGTGGAGATGTGCTTGGAGTTGGAAAGAGGGGTGGTGAGCATTGGGCCTAGTGTGGGGGGGTAGAGGAGGGATGGGAAGGAGCTTGAGCATGGGAATGGGGTCGAGTCCAGAAGCGATGCCGGATGCGAGAGGGAGGGAGCGGGTGGGTGTGATGCAGGGAGGGAGAGAGCATGCAGTCACATCACCAGCACCTGTACCTCCTCCCATGCGACGGTCCCGCACAGACACGAGGCAGGAGAGGCGCGCGAGGGAGCAGCAGGAGCAGATGGTGCGTGTGTGAAACAAGATTTGGGAATGGAAGCAGCAGCGGCGCCACCCATGCGACGGTCCCGCACTGACACGAGGCAGGAGAGGCAGGCAAACGGAGCAGCAGGAGCAGAGGGATCAGTTGGAGCAGATGGGTGTTTGTGTGAAACAGGATGTTGGACTGGTTCCCATGCCACCATCCCATGCGACGGTCACGGACTGACACCCGGCAGGAGAGGGGATGAGGGCAGGGCAGCAGGCAATGACACCAGCAGTGAGGGGAGGTGGCAGAAGAAGCGAAGGGTGCAGCAGAGGGGAAGCAGGCAGCGGGCGGGTGTTGCGGCGAGGCAAGACCGCCGAGCCGGCGCTTGGAGCAACGGGAGGGGGTGGCCCGGCGCAGAGAGGGAGACCTGCTCATCCGCACACACACGCTGTGAGTACTGTGGGTAAAGGGCAGAGGGGCAGAGGGCAGAGGGCAGAGGGCAGGGGCAGGGGGCCAGGGGGCAGAGGGCAGGGGGCAGGGGGCAGTGGATAGTGGGCATGAGGCAGAGGGCTTTGGCAGTGAGAAGGGGGGGGGAGGGGGTGGCCCCGGCGCAGAGAGGCGGTGCCCCGGCGCAGAGAGGGGGGTGCCCCGGCGGGCAGAGAGGGGGTGCCCCGGTGCAGAGAGGGGGTGCCCCGGTGCAGAGAGGGGGTGCCCCGGTGCAGAGAGGGGGTGCCCCGGTGCAGAGAGGGGGTGCCCCGGTGCAGAGAGGGGGTGCCCCAGTGCAGAGAGGGGGTGCCCCGGTGCAGAGAGGGGGTGCCCCGGTGCAGGGGGGGGGGGTGCCCCTGCTCATACCCGCAGGCATGCTTTGTGAGTCCCATGGGTGGTGGGCAGGGGTGGTTGTGAACGTGTCTAGTGGCAAGCCACTCAAGCCTGTGTGGCAGCAGCTGTGTGCTCTGCTGCTGTGGTCTCTGCTGCTGTGGTCTCATCCCTTCTTCGCTGGCTCACCCTCTTTTGCCTGTCCCTTGCACTGCTGCTGCTGATGCTGTGCTGCTGCTGCTGCTGCTGCTGCTGCTGCTGTGTGTGTGCAGAGGGCAAGACGCGGAGATTCTGGTGGCTAGACAACTGACAGTGGCGGTGGGCACAACACAACGGCAGAACATGCGATAACAACTGATAAGGATGATGATGGCAACGCTGATCACAACTGACAATGATGGCAACTGGCCATCCTGGGTTGCGTATGGGGCAAACCTCTTGCCACACGGCTTGGCAATGTTCAGTGGGCTGCTTGCAAGAAAGTTTGCTGGCATTCCATTCCAGACTCCGCGGCTCCCCGCTCCTGTCACTCAATCAACGCCGTAGTGTTTCTGTCCAGTGACCACCCACGGCCGTGGTATGAAGGAAAGTGGCTCATACCGTATACCATACCACGTGTTACATGTGCGAGCGAGTGAAGATTGCACTGAGGAAGCAAAACAAGTACAACGTGTATTCAAAGGCATGAGCAAATACAGCAAATGGTAACGCGATGCGTCCGAGCTAAGCTTGTGCAATGCTGGAAGCGAGGGTTTTTTTTAATCGTAGGTTGACCCCACCGAGTGTAGCAGTGCGTGGTTTGGTGAAAGTGATGCGGGGCGAAGGTTGACAACCACCGTTACCAGTAATGTTCGAAGTACGGTTGGTCTTGTACGCGATGATGATGTGTGATGCTATAACTGAAGGATCGTAGTGGATAGGTTAGTGGATAGGTAAAAGAGAGAGAACTGAGTCTCTGTAATGACCTTGTTAATAAATTGAAGGAGAACAAGATGATTATAAGATAGGAGTACAAAGAGGAAGTAAATAGCAATCCTAGCTAGCCATGTACTCTGAGGGGTACACTCAGGGCTCTTGCTAGGATTCAAGCCCGTCTGAAGACATGTATAAAAAAATTCGTTGGTCTGACGTTTTGACGAGGAAAAAAGGTTAGTCTGAACTTCAGACGAGTGCAAACGCCACGTCTGATTTTTCAGCTGAAATAGATAGTGCTCTGTTTTTTTTCAAATTGCATCGTGTAGTGTATTACCGTATATCGATTCAGGGCGACACAACCTAAATGTGGAAGGTTGTTGGGCAGCTCGCGGCATGCTGAGGGCAGGGGGGGTGGGTGTTGGGGCTGCGACAAGAGGACTTCGGGGGAGTTCGGCTGGGGGTGTTGGGCTGTTGCGAGACTTTTCGAGAGGAAAGCGGGCTAGGCTAGGAGCGGGGACCTGGGGAGGGGACCTAAGGCTGGGGGAAAGGGGGAGAAGGGCTGGACTAGGCCAGTAAATAGGGGACGAGGAGCGAGGGCATCAAATGGGGGGCTGCGCTGTTAGAGAAGCGAGGGATCGGGGGGGAAGAGGGGGGGGGGGGGGGGGGTGGGGGGGGGGGGGGGGGGGGGGGGGGGGGGGGGGGGTGGGGGGGGGGGGGGGGGGGGGGGGGGGGGGGGGGGGGGTGAGGGGGGGGGGGGGGGGGGGGGGGGGGGGGGGGGGGGGGGGGGGG